GTATCAATAACACGTTGACCGGTGTGTACTCTTGGGAGATCGTCTGACCCAATAGTTGATACTGTCATAGTTATATAAAATCATTTTTTGATTTTAGATAATTGTGACAGGAATGCTATGTCACCTTTTTGCTGAATCATTTGTTTAATGTCTTAATCAACTGTTGCACCCTGTGCTTCTTTTTAAGATTGATATTTTCCTTAGTGTTAATCAAACCTCCCAATTTTAGATAAATCAAATCCCTCGTTTCACCATCTGAAACTAGTTTTTATAAACTGGACTTTCGAAATAACTTTACAAGCTATCTCTGTGGGAACGATATCTGGTATTTTACCATTATTACTTGTTACGAGACGACAGTAGTTCGAGGCGTATACTTGCGCCGAGTTCTATTTTTGTGTTGAAATCTAAGGTTGAATAAACCGACGAACAAGTTTTTGGCGCCGTTGCCGGGGATAGTACGCTGAAGTTTTTTCTTTTAACAAAGTAAAGTTTATAAAAGTTAGTTTTTCTTCCATCTTTTTGTGAACGCACCGTGCATGCCAAGGCTGTCGCACGGTGAATTTTTTCCACTTGATCCGGATATTAAACAAACTTTCAGACAACAAAGAAGAGTGCAAAGAGCTCTTCGAGCTTTAAACTCTGAAACGATGGCTGAAAATGTGATTATTGTCGGAGAAGGTATAATTAGAAATGAACCACATATTCCATATGAGGATGAGGCTCAAAACATCTTTCGTCTTGCAAATGCTAAAAATGGTGGCATTATGGCGTATGTTATTCCTAATTTAACTCAACTGCACACAGGGATACGTAAGCCTACCATTGGTGCCATCCATTTTTCACTTAAACCACTGATGTTTCAAATGCTTCAAACAAACGGCCAATACGTTGGTTTATCTTCTGAAGATCCTCATTCTCATTTGCGTTCTTTCATGGAAATCACAGACTCTTTTCTCATCCCTGACGTTTCAAACGATGCTCTGAGACTAAAACTTTTTCCATTTTCACTAAGGGATCGAGCAAGAGCATGGTACAATTCTTTGCAACCAGACTCTGTGACTACATGGAATGAAATGGCAGAAAAGTTTTTGAAAAAATATTTTCCACCCACGAGGAATGCCAAATCCAGGAATGAAATATGTACTTTTAGACAACTGGATGACGAAGCAGTTCCTGATGCATGGGAAAGGTATAGAGAGTTGTTAAGAAAATGCCCTCACCATGGCATCCCATACTGTATACAGCTAGAGACATTTTACAGCAATTTAAATATCGTTACTAGACAAATGCTCGATGCTACTGCAGGCGAAGCTTTCACAGCTTG